CTACAGGGTCGCTGTGAGTTGGGTTTTTTTTTGTTTTTTCTCAGGCCCTGCGGAAGGCGCGGGCGGCTGAGCGCAGTGTGGGCCGGGCCCCGAGGCAGGCGGACCGCAGGGACTGCGCGCGGCGTTGGCCGGCCGGTCCTGTAGTCGCAGCCCCGCGAACGGGCGCGGCCGGACGCGGGAGGGGACGCCAGGCTCCGCCCCGACTCTCGCTAGGCTCTCGCCCCCGCCAGCTGCAGTGTTTCGCGCGCTAGGCCCCTGACGTCAGCTCGGCCGCGGCCAATCCGCGGGGCGGGACCGCCCAGCTCCTGGTCCCTTGGCAATGTATAGGCGATCCGGGTCTCCTTGGCCTGGGGGACTCTCGGTTGGTGACCCGCCGTTCCAGTTCCCAGGGCCCCCCCCTCTGGAGCGACCCTGGCGCTTCACGTCCCCCGCCCCCCCAGCAATGTGCGCCCAGGTATCCTCGCTAGCTCCAAGTTGCCATCCCCTTGGCCGCCCACTCTACCAGCCACAGCATCAACATTCAGCCCCTTCGCCCAACCCTGCCCCAGGCTCTGTCCAAGGTGCTGCCGGCCTGGGACATTTCGGGCTGTCCTGGCCAAAGGCTGCGCGCCCCCACTTCCAGGGTCTACCTGTCCAGCCAGCTGCCCAGGCCTCTGCGGCGTGTCCGGCATCCTTGGGACAGGACTGCGCCTTGGACCAGGCTTCTCCGAGCTTGGGCTCCGCTTAACTAGCCCATTTTCACCTACGGGAGACACTTGACCCTGCCTTGGAGGGGAGGGAGAGGCAGGAGGTTCGCAGGCACAGGGGGTATCAGCCAGGACCGCCCCTCGGACACTCGGCCCTGCCTTGGAGGGGAGGGGGAGGCAGGAGGTGTGCGAGGATAGGGGTGTGTGTGCAGTTGGATGTGCTGGAGCAGGTAGGGGAAGTGGAAGGTCACTTCGGCCTGCTCCCCGCCCATGGGAGGCAAGCCCAGGAAGTCACCCCTTCTAATCTGCCCGCTACGGGCCTTCCCCGTCCGCAGGATCCTGCCTACCACCCTACGTGGTCCGCTGCAGTTCCTAGGCCTCCAGGTTTCAAACCACACCCTCTAACCATACCCGGTGCAAGAAACACACATCTTTGATTTTCATGGACACACCCACCCCTGGCCTCCAGCGCCTTATTTACATAGCTCCTCCCCACCGCATAAGAATGTGCCCAAACAAGAAGTAAAATTAGATCTTTATTCAAAGTCTGTAGGTGGTCATTTGGTCGTTTTTGTTGGCCTCTGACCTCTCCCTAAGGGCAGTAGCCAAGGTCCAACGACTGCAGAAACCAGAGATTCCATCCTCACCTGGAGATCGCTGTCGTGCTGGGTACCTGCCACCCTTTTTCCTTTACCATCAGGACCCCAGGGTCAGGCCAAGGTTTCCACATAGCACCAGATACTTCCTGTCCAACTCTGGCCTCTCCGAGATGACCAGAGGCCGAGCTACACATAAGGGGGCAGAAAGCCGAGGTAGTGTGTGGCTCCAGGCTCAGGTGTCACCATTCCGCTTGGAGATGGGTCGCTGAGGTCCGGAGTCAGAGAGCGGAGACGAGGGAGCGAAGGGAACTCTGGCTGGACCCGCTCAGGGGCCGGTAGCCCGCAGCTGTTCCCTCAGCCTGGGGGTCTCCAGGCGGGCAGGGTAGGGCCACCCCTCTTGGCCGACGATACCAGACGGCCCAGCTTCTCCCGGGGCCCCGGGAAGGCCCCAACGTCCTGGGCGCCTTTCCGGGAGCCCACAGACGGCTCCTAGGGAAGGAGCAGATGTTAGCTGAATCTTGAGTCCCTCCCAGCTTCCCGGCTCCCCTGCCATCGCCCGCCTGCCCCAGTCAGAACTCGGACCCCTCGCGGCCTGGGCTCCCCACTAGCGTCTACACCTCCGGCACAGCAGGCGCAGCAGCGAGAGCATCAGCAGAAGCGCCGAGACGAGCGTCACCGAGGAGAAGAGGCGGGTTGCTGCGGGGACAGGGTGGCGTGAGGACAGGCAAAGGGGCTGCACCCCAATTTCCCTCCCCTCTGCCTTACTCTCCGCCTCACCGTCAGTCGCTGCCTCCGAAGCCCAGGGCTGGGGGCTGCAGCTGGCGTTGACCCTGTCTGGGGCCCCAGCGGGAGTCTGGGCCAGACCCTGGGGGGCTGCCTGTCCATCAGGGGTGTCCGGCAGGCCTGCGGAGCTGAGCGTGAGATCGGGCAGCGGGGCCAGAGGGCCAGGGGTGGGGCGGGTGCGGGCGGTGGGGCGGGCCTCACCCCGGTAGCTGATGGCGAAGCCCTGCGCATGGCCGCGCGCATCGCTGCGGAAGGTGACTCTCAGTGCGGGGGCCTGCAGACGCAGGGGCCCAGGCGGCGGGGGCCGGGCGCCGTCGAAGACGCGCAGCAGGCGGCCGGAGGTGGCGTCCCGCAGCTCCAGCCGGTCTCGAGAGTCAGCCAGCTCGAAGAGGCGGAAGGTCAGCTCCAGCGCGACGCCGGACGGGCCTAGGTTCCAGCTGCAGTTCCGGTCCGGTCCGTACTCGTCGGGGAAGTCCGGAGAGTAGATGACTCCCTGAGGCGCCGTCCAGTTACCCTGACAGGAGCCCACGGATACTGGGGACCCGCGGGAGGGGCGGTCAGGGTGCGTCCCACTTAGAATGAATGCCCGCCCCTTCCTTCAAGGCCCCGCTCATTCAATCCTGAAGCTTAGTCCCTCAGGTACGGCCTCAAGATAAAGCCCCGCCCCCAGGCACAAGCCCCACCTCTCACATCAACAGACCCCACCCCCAAGCACAGGCCCTGTCCAATCACTTCTCAGTTACCAGTGTTCAGCAACGCCCCTCGTCTGGCTCCACCCCCAAACCCAGACCTCTCCCAAGACCTTCAGCAGGTCAATCCTCTCTTCGGGTCCCACCCTCCGACCCCACCCAGTCTCGCCTCAAGCCCCGCCCCGTCTCCAGATTGCAGTCTCTTAGAACGACAAGGCTTTCTACTTCCAGAGTTAGTCTTGGAAACCCAAGGGGCATTTCTATCCTACCCTACAGGGTCGCTGTGAGTTGGGTTTTTTTTTGTTTTTTCTCAGGCCCTGCCCTGTCTCAGAATTCCTCTTTCGGGATACCACCCTCTACCTGGGCTTCACCCACAGCTACCAACTCACCTTCATAGATGCCCAGGCGCCCGTCGCCGCCACACAGCTGGCCCGGGTGGCCAAAGCAGATCTGGTCGCAGTCGGTGGCAAGGGCTGGCCGCCCTCGCTCCAGGTCGATTTCGGAGCCACAGAAGCAGGCGTAACCGGCCTCCACCCCCGCCAACTGGGGGCACAGTCAGGGTGACCAAAGGGGCATGGGCTTGGAGCAGAGGTGGGGTTGGGGTCAGAACGGGGAAATTAAACTAAGAGATCAAGAAATCAGGGTCGAGTTGGGCGTCAGAGTTGGTGGGAGTACGGTCCGAGGTTAAGGGTCACTGTCGGGGCGAGCGGGGTCAGCACCTGGTAGCCCTTCAGGCGACAGAAGCGAAGGCACACCTGGACGGTGAGCTTCGTGGAGGTGCCGCTGGGACCACTGAGGGCTGGGGGCGTCCCGGAATCCATGAAGCAGCCCAGGTACCCGGGCACTGAGAAGAGCGCAGTGTCAGGCTCCAGTGCCTGCGAGTGCAGCCCCTCCGCCAGGGCACCCCGCTCCAAGCCCATGCCCCTCTGGTCACCCTGACTGTGACCGCTGCCCCACTGGGGACCCCGGGACGCCCGCTCCACTCACTGTGACAGGTGGGGATGTCACAGTAGCGCCAGTAGATGCCCTCCTCCGTCTCTGCCACGTAGCACCAGGGCTGCACGTCCCCGTCAGGGTTCCTGCGGAGGGCGCAGAGCGCGTGGGATGGGGATAGGGGATGCACCACCCAAGAGCCCCGCCTCCACAGCCTGCGAGCGCCCAGCGGGGTGAGCAGGAGGCTCCTCTGAGCTCGCAGGGCTTCGGAGGGAGCCGCGGGAAGCCAGCCCCTAAAAGGGGTCTGCAAGGGCTGTTTTTAGGTCTCAGCTGTTGCGAAGCCATGCTGTCCTATGAGAGGACTTGGAGGCCCCCCCGGACCATTCTGAGGGCAGAAGTGATCTATGCGGTCTAAGCTTTGAGGTTCAGCAGGGAAGCGTCGCCCTGCCCTGGCCGCCCCAGACAGCAGGTGTGGCGCTAACCTCCCTCCCCTGCCCCCGGCCCCCGCTGGAGGAGCTGGAAGAAGTATGCGAACCCTTCCCCAACTTCAGCGAGGTGGCCTCCCTGGGCCCGGCCTCTCTCTCAGGCCGGCGGGCTGGGATCCAGGACCCTCGCCGTGACTCCGCTCTGCAGGGCGGCGCTGAAACCCCGGGCGCTCAGGTCCCGCCTCTCCCTCTAGGCCCGCCCTCGTCCCCGCCCACCGCGCACAGGCCCCGCCCCTGACCGGCAGAAGTTGTGGGCGCCCAGCCCCCAGCGGCCCTGGGGGTCGCTGGCGCTGCTGAAGCTGTGCTGCTGCGTCTGGTCCCAGAAGAGGCAGGGGCGGCCGGCTCCCTGCGGGCCCGTGTGGTTCTGATGGCCGCGGTAGTCGGCGCCGTTCACCTGGAAGCACTCGGACAGGCCTGCCCGGCAGTGAAGGGCCTGAGCGGTCCGGACAGTCGCCAGGCATCCATCCCTTCCCAGTCTACCCGACCGCCGCCCCACTTGGGACCCCGGGATGCCCAAGGCTCTAGCTCGCCCCTCCCAGCACGGGGGCTGATTGGAGTCAGGTGAGGACCTGGCCACCCACACTCACCTGGGTTGTGCAGGCTCCCTGCCAAGACCCCACGCGGTAGTGGCAGCGGGAGTAAGAGGAGGACGAGGACGCCCTGCAGGACCTGTGTCCCCATCGTCCCAACCCAGGACGCGGCCCGGGCCGCCCTGTGGTCGCTCAGAGGTCTCTCAGGCAGTCTGAGATGTTACCCTGCGTCTGTCTGTTCTTCGTCTCGGAAGGGGGAGTTGCTTGGGGTCTCGGTCCCGGGAGGTGTCTCTCTGGCCCGTCCTTGGAGGAGGGCGCTCTCAGGGTCTCTGGTCCGGGCTGCTGGAGTCCTGCAGTGGCCGCCACACCTGGTCCCTCCCACCGCGCTGCCGCTCTGGGTCCCCTCGCCCAGGTCTCCAGCGAACTGGTGCCTGCCCCCCTCATCTTATGTGGGAGCCCTCCCCTGGCCCCTCCCTTCCCCTGAGGGAGTCCAGGAAGCTCCGCCTGGGATGGGTGCAATGTCGCAGGTCCAGACGTCTTGCCCACCAGTCCCCTCTCCCCCCATCACCCGGAGAAACACAGGAGTCCCAGCTCTGCCTCTCCCCACCACCCCTGCTGGGGTGGCACCCTGTGGCTCTGGGGGGCTGCAGGATCCTTACCGGGACCCACGTCCCCTTGCACCGCAGCCTGCGCCCCACGTGCGCAGGCAGGAGTCACTTGTCCCCAGGAGGTGGAAACTCCTGAGCAGAAGCCGTTCAAGGTCAGGGCCTGCCTGGCGCCTGGGTCCTGACCACAGCACTGGCCTCGCCGCCGCCGCCCCCGAGACAGGCGGGCTGGTGGGCGCGCTTGGCCCAGATGGGCAGGGGCAGCTGGTGTCTGTGGAGGGAGGCAGCTGTGCCCTGTCCCAGCCAGGCCCCTCCTTCGCTCCTCGCCCAGAGACCCTCGCCTAGCCGTGGAATTCCCCAAGCTGCGCCCCCCACCTGGCGGGGAGGGGGAGGGGCAGGCCCAGGCAGGCGTGGGGGGAATTCCCCGCCCCCTCCCCCGGCGGGGCTCCCGGAGTCCTCTGATCTGCCAGCACCGCCTGCCGCCCCCAGGGCTTGGGGGTAGGCCAGCGCAGGTGCGTGGGAGGCGGAGGCGGGGAGGACGCAGCCCAGAACCACCGGGCCCCCACCGTCCAGCTTCCTGACCGTACCTGGCTGATGCCAGACTGTCTGGCCTGCAGACCAGTGTCTCCCCTGCCCGCAACACCCCCAGCAGATGGAGAAGCAGGGTGCTAACGAAGTGGGGCAGCAGGTACCTGCAGTCAGCGCTTCACCCTGAGTCTTGGGGCGGGAGCATCAGGAGGAGGTGGGCTCCTGGGGACTCAGGGCCGCGCCCCGTCCGCTCCTCTGGGAGCCCTCTCCCTCAGCGCCCAGACCGGCCCGGGCTCGCCCGGCCCCCTGAGCACAGGCTGGGAGTCTCCTGACAGAGCCCCCTAATAGGGGGGCGGGGTACCAGGACCTCACATGCATGAAGGGTCTGCTCAGGGAGTGATGGGGGAGTCGCCTTCTGAGTAGCTGAGTGCTGGTCTGACCTGCAGTGGGGGTAGTGGGGGTGGGGGACAGGGGTGTTTGCACAGCAGAGACAGAGGGACTCTGTTGTGCTCAGGCCCTTAGCTCCGGCCAGGGAGGACGGGGGCTCTTTGCAAACTCCTGTCTCATGTCACTCAGGAAACCTCCCGTGTAAGATTTCTTAGACAAGATGGCCTAGTCCATGCACCTTTCCCCCCACTTCTACAAAGTTACCCCCTTAGGCATTACACAAGCATCTAGCTATGCCTTTATGCTCCCTTGGATGCCCTGTGGGTGTCGCTGCCCACTTCCTGCCCCCTTGCAGATGAGAGCCTCAGGCTTACAACCCTCAGCTGCTTACTGAACCTCACCCTTGCTCTAAGAGTACCTGACTCTGAGGTTCAAGTTCTGCCAACGCCTGTGCATGGACGGTGGGGGCTGAAGGGACACCACTCCCATGTCCCTCCCAGGGGGCTAACATCCTCCAGTGGTTTCTCTTTTCAGCCAGAGATGGGCAGGGGTCAATTTAGGGTCACTTCTTGCAATGAGCCCCGTCCTCAATCCTGAGACCCATCTCTGCCCACTCCAGTAAAAAAGCTGGCTGGCCACCTCCACAGTGAGCAAGTTGCTGGTGAGGGTGGAGAGAAAAGGGCCATGGTAGGAGAGTCACTCAGGGCCAGGTCCTCCCATTGGGGCATGCATTTGAGAGGTGGGGAGAATGTGGGGACAGGAGGAGGGGCCAGGCCACTCTGGTCCGACTGTCCCCCAGGAAGGAGCAGGGGCAGACAGCCTTGTCCGTGGGAGCCCTAGTTGGGCGTTGCTGAAACCTTGCCCTCTGCCACGTTGAGTTCTACCCATTGCTTGGCCACTCTGACTTCCTTCAGTTTTTAAATGGGGATACTGTGCACTTTAGGGTCCACCATCTCAGAATGATGCCTGGGAGGGGGGGTAGAGGCAGCCATGGGGCAGAGCAGGTATGGACACACACAACAGCATCCAGTAGTGAGGCTTAATAAAATAGGGTTTATTGCGGGCGGGGAGAGGTGTAAGCAGAGTGGCAGGTAGAGAGGGGGCATGTCCACAGTTGGACAGCGCTGCAGCCAGGGTCTCCTGGGGAACAGCACCCCCCCCCCACCTGTGGGTATCCACAATCATAGGGTGGGTGAGGAAGTCCAAGGTGGAGGCTATGGATTTGAGAGCTAGCAGAAGCCCCTATCACCAAGCTCTCAGTGGCCATCAGCTGGTCCCCTCACAAAGCTACCCATAGTGGGAGGGCAGGTTTATTAACAGTGTACCTTCCAGACAAGCCTCCTCTCAGGCTCAGGATGAATGCGGGCAGCCAGGCAGGGGGGCCACCCCGAGTGGTTGCCTATAACCGTGGGCTGGGATCCACGTGGAACTGCAAGAGGCACACCTGCTGTCAGAGCAAAGGATGCTGGGTGGAACTTAAGTTGGGGGACAGACAAGGAAAGATAGGTGACAGGGGACATGAAGTGCCTCTTGTTTAGTTCCCTGGGAGATGGCAGGGCCTGCAGCTGTACCAGCAGTGTGTCAACCAAGGGTCACAGAGACCCAAGTGGCACTGTCCTGGAGCCACCTCTCCTGGGAGGACAGCTCAGAATGATGGGCAGGAGTGCCAGCGATGTCCACCTTATGGGGCCAGAGCAGGGCCAGGTGGAAAATTCCGCACTTTGAAATATAGGGCTGTTGGGTTGGGAGCAACAGGAGACCAGGGCGTCAGGGCATCACTCAAATCTTTCGTCTGTTGGGTCAGAAGAGCCAGGACTGTTGTGTCCATGCCATAGGCCTCTGCAGGCTGCCAACCCTGAGCATGGTTTTTAAGGGCCTGAGGACACCAGGGAAGCGGTCCTGATGGGTGGCCTCTGGAGGGAAGGTGCTGGCTCTTGATGCCCTTGGGAGCACAGAAAGAAGCAGTTGTCAAGCAGAATCTAACTGGATGGAAGATGCCAATTCCCGTGGATGTCAGCTGTCCTCGATGCCAGGAATCAGCACAGTGCCTCTGCTCTGGCAGGGGAGGAGTTTCTGCGTCATTGCGATTCACTATCCACTTGCACACTCGTCATTTTTCTAGGCACAAAGAAATGTGTGCATGTTATAAAAGTTCAAACATGACAGAAATAGGTTAAAATATAACCATAGATTAGATCATTGTTCAATACCCACACATACAGTCTTTGACTTGAGGCCTTTTCCTTTAACAGAGATGCTTACAGCTATCGATATTCCTCAGAGAACTACTTTAGATGCATCCCATACTTTTGGATGTGCCATGCCTTCATTTTCATTCATGTCAAGTAGTCTCTAATCTCCTTTGTGATTCCTTCATTAGGATCTATTGGCAGTTAGGACCCAGTGGTATTTAGTTCCTAATATTTGTGAGTCTGATTTTTTTTCCTGTTATTGATTCCTTATTCTGTTGTGGCCAGACAACACACTTTATATGCTTTTAGTTCTTTTAATCATGGAGAGGCTCAATCTAGAGCATAGCACACAATCATGAAGAATGTCCCACGTATGTCTGAGAAGAATGTGTGTTTTGACTGTAGCTGTGGCTTCCTTCTTGCTGTATTCTCTCTCTTGAATCAAGGAAATGAGGCTTCCAATTGGTAGCCATATGACTAAGTGAGCCATTTTACAGTGCTCTGTCCTTGGGCCCCCATGAAGTCTTCAGATGACTGTAGTTTCATGAGGCATCTTTTCTTCAACTTCATAAGAGACTCTGAATCAGAACCATCCAGTCTAACCACTCGCAAATCCTTGCCCCAGAGAAACACTGAGAGAAAAATAACTTTGGGCCACTAAGCTTCTGGCTAGCTAATGATGCAGCGTTAGTGAATGAATGCAATTACCCATAGGTCTGCTGGCTTTCTGGTGAACAAGTCTTGAAGGACTGTTGCACTTTTGGTAGAAGTCTTATGTTCTCTGAGAAATGGAGAAGGGAAAAAGAAGGGATGGATTAGTGATCCTTGTCTTGCTGATGGAGACAGAACCAATGATGCTTACCTTGTAAAGGAGGTCTCGAGGCTTTGAGGAAGAAGAAAAGCAGGTGCGGTCATGCTGATGATGGGCACCTTTGGGAGTTCTGGTTGCCTGACAACTACAAACTGGCTGTGCCCGGTTGGAAAAGCTACTTTAGACTATGAGCCCATCTTCAGCCCTCTTATCAAAGGGACTGAGAATCAACTGATTATCAAAGATAATAATGTCAACGAGTACCAATGGCCCTCCATCCCTTCCTCTTCCTGTTTAAGCCACACAGTGGTCTTTTTACTGCAGGGCAGGGTATTATTTGATGGGGCTCTGATAGCCATCGTCTCTCTAATGCCCATCAAAGGACCCTTTCCTGATGCTCCTGGGTCAGAGGAGCGGGTGAAGACAATGAGAGGCGTCCGTGGTGTGTTAACAGGGTTAACTGTGATTGCCATCCTACTGGGTATATAATGAACCATCTCAGAAGCAGGAAGGGCGGATCTCACTACCAACAAGAGAGAAGACTGAGGAACGGGGTGCCTCTTTTGGACCCTGAGATCCCTGCACATGAAGGAAGCCTCCTCGATCCAGGAGACAGCTGTGACCCAGAGGAGCAGCGACAGACAGCAGAATCAGAAGCCAGGGCACGAGGCAGAGCAATGGCGTTCCCAGCTCACAGGGCAGGTAAAACTAGAGTGCTTTGGGGCAGGAGGCTGGCTGGTGGAATGGGGTGCCTCTGGGCACTCAATTAGGAATAGAATGCCCTTAGGGCATCTATTGGTAGCCTTGAAAAAGCTCTGTAACATTGCCTGTTAGCAGGGCAGGGACCAAGTAGCTGAGAGCCAGAGAGAGGCCTGTCTACGGAGAGAAGGAACTGTCCTGACTGAACTGTATCCTGAGCATTTCTCAAATTAATATTAACCTAGTGACTTCTACAATAAGCTTCATGCTTGTGAGTTTGTGTGGGCCCTACAATGACTTCTGGAACCCAGCGGGAAAGTGGAATGCTGTTGGAGAGCACAATTGGTGTCAGGAGTGTGGGATTCATGGCATGCCTCCTCACTGGAAGCATGGAGCTTTGTAAAAGCAAGAAGAGGGGATGGGAAGCAAAACTTTGGATTCTTAGCTGGTTACTTTGGCTGAAGAGAATGTAAAAAAGTGTAAGTTTTGCTGAAGGGGCAAAACTGCCCCAGGAGTGGCTGAGAGCAGGACCCTGGTGAGGCATGATTGACAGGGGGCGGGGCCTGCCCCAGGGGCCTATGGCGACATGCACATTAAGTGGAGACAGTCCAGAGGTGGAGAAGTTTAAAGTTGAGTATTCTTTTAAAAGATCCAGGGTTATTTATCTGACTGCACTAAGGCGCGTGCGTGTTGCTCCTACCCGGTATTGTAAATTGGACCGAGTGTGATGGAGAATTAGTATGATCATGATTACAGAACGTTTGTTGGCCTACCTTGATTGAACATGCTAACAGGGGAGCTAGGAATTACCCAGAAGGAACAGGCTTTATTTGAAGGCAGAGCTAGACTAGGTAGAGTTAGGGGGTTAGGTGGAATCCCGAGTGCCACCCAGAACTGCTGAAAGCACCGGTTAACATTTGAAGGGAAGGCTGGCAGAGGAGAAAGGGACTGTGTGGCTTTTTGAATAATGAGCAAGCAGTTTGCCTTTGGATGCATCAGTGCAGGAAACGTGTGGGCCCCTCCGAGAAAGCCTCCTCCTCGGACTGCCGGTGAGGGAGCCAGTCAGCAGGCAACCTCCTATGCTTGTTAAGGTGACCACCTGGGTCCACATGTTGAGTGGAAGTGGGGGGAAATGGAGCAGTGAGGGGAGATGGGCTGAGTCTGGACATGTTCCATTAGCACCCATTGACCTGGTTCACAGAGGCCACAGGTGAAAGAGCTAAGTGCTGGCTGGTCTGGGGTGACTGGGTTGGGTGAACTCCTGAGCCTATAGGCATGATCTAGCCTTTGGAGTCAGGGTGGGGCGGGTTAGGGCTAAGGAAGAATGAGACGGGGCCAATTGACCAGAAGTGCAGAGAGGTGTGTGTATGATTCCCAGGTTTGCAGTTGATCTAGTGTGGATGGCTAGGGCTGAGATGTCCAGGGCCCAAACTGAAGGAAGAGAGAAACTGGTGTGGCACAGCGAGGTGGTGTAAACTGCTGAAATATGGCGGTTTGCTCTGGAAATTTAATGACTTGACTTTGCTTATGGATGCAGACAGCCAAAGTTCCAGCCAGAAATTGAATTCTACACAAAAAGCACTCAGAGTACTGGGCTGTGTTAAACAAAAAACCCACTGCTACTGAGTGGATTCTGACTCACAGCAACCCTATAAGGTAAGGTAGAACTGGCCCTGTGGGTTTCCACGACTGGAACTCTTGAAGTGGGCAGAAAGCCGGTCTTTCTCCCATGGAGTGGCTTGTGGTTAGCGCCCAATTTGTAACCACTATGAAACCGGGCCTCCTCAGAGTTGTGTTATGCATAGGCAATCTAGGAACTGCATATCAAGTGGGAGGGGATAAAGGCATGAAGTGACTGGCTTACAAGCCTTTCTGGGTGTGCTCACAGTCAAACAAGGGGAGAAGTGGGTGCTTCATGGAGGGAAGGGGGAATGACTGGAAGCACCAGGGATAGCCTGCGCTGCTGTGGGTTACTTAAAGTGGCTCTTCTAGCCACAGTCTCTCTAATTCCCACCAAATGATGGGTCTGGGTCAGAGAAGGTGGGAGAAGACACTGAGAGGATTCAGTTGTGAGTGACGGTTAACAGGGTTAAGTACGACTGCCACCCTGCTGGGTGTGAAGTTCATTACCAGCATGAGAGAAATGCCGGAAGGGAGCACATCACTTGGACCCCAGGATCCCTGTGCATTGAATCTCCTTGTTCAGGAGACAGCTTTGCCACCAGGAGGAGCAACAGCACCAGCAGAACCAGAGTCAGAGCGTGAGATAGATGGTGGACTTCCCAGGCCACAGAGCAAATAAAGTTGAGTGCTTTGGGGCAGGAGGCTGGCTTGTGGAGTGGGTGTCTCTGGACACTTAACTGGGGGAGTCGGGCTTGCTGACCTATGGAGTACTCACTGAGTACTTTGGGCTGAGGATTACAGCAGAGTGGCATGCTTCTTGGGAATTTATTGGCAGCCCCCCAAAGAGCTTTGTAACATTACAAAGCAAGGCAGAGAACAGGTCATGAGGCTTCAGGCCAGGGAAGAGACGGTCCTGAAGGAACAACTACAGTATATTCTGAGCATGGCTCACCTGAATGGCAACTTGCTCACATCCCTAAGAAACCCCCTTGTGTTAACAAACCCAGGGACAAGGGAACAACAAGCGATCCAAATTGGTGAGGAGGTGGGTGTGGGAGACCTGGTAGG